GGCGCCTAACAGCCGACTCGCTCGTGACCCGGGTCGGGCTTTGAAAGCAGACGTACGACACAGATTGTACAATCAAATGAACGCCGCAAACAGCTGTCTCTGTTGTTGTTTTTCTTTAATTTCTGCTTGTTATTGGCATGTTTAATTACGCTCCGAATGAAGCTACTGTACGTTATTTATTCAGCCTAATGAACAGTCTGCTAAAGAAGGTTTTTTTTTTCCTTCCAAGGCTCTAATACAACAATACTTAAGAGTTTGGTCGATGCCTTTTTACCATCTGAAGACGCTCCGATGTGACAAGAGTTTGTTGTTTTATTTAACTACGTTCGGCTGAAGACGACTCTGACAAATCAAGTAATTATTTCGCAACATTACAGACTTTTTAGTATTTTTGTTCTCCCAGACCGTCAGTTTTTTTTTTTTTTGAGCTGCTGTAGAAGGACAGTAACCAGCCATGCCAGTAATTGTTATTTTCAGAATAAATTGGACCACTCAGAAATGCCATTAATTTGCACATGAGCTGCACTGGACATGATTTAGTTTGTATGGAGCAGATTTATGCATTTTTTAAAATAGAGTTTTTTGTCTTTGTGTCTACGAGCTTCTAGCAGAAGGCAGATAGAGGAAGAGGAGGGTCGAGTGCATCACGTTGAGGACGTTTTCAGCTTTAATTTTGCATTAATATTTGATTATTTCCAGTTATACATGATGCTTTGTCTTGCTTCTGTTTGGGTCGGAGCTACTGCAGGTCAGCGAGTTTTGGAGCTGCAATTATCTTAATGTTTTAATGGATTTAACCCTTTTGTTAGTCCATGTTTTTGCGAAATCGGCGTTGTTTGCACTGTACCGACACTCTAAAATCATGTTTGCGTCAGTTTTTATGACAGCTTAAATCATGTTCAACCAACAAACTGCATTGAGTTTAGGGAATGAGCTTTTCTTCTACAATCAACGGTATCTTAAATGACAACTTCTTTAATAACTGGTCGCATAAACACAAGTTTTTAAGTTGATTACTCGTGTTCCAACCAGTATTTATGCAGTATTTAAAGCGCTACATTACCTTAATTATGAACACATGAAGTTTTAAAGTTGAAAAATTTGCTCCAACTAGATTTTCTTGAGTAGTTTTAGTCTTTTTTTGTGTTTTTGTTGTGTCTGATTCACTTTTGATGAGCTTCAGTTGCATATTTGAACACTTGATATTTAAAAAATGACCACAAAAACAACTAATTTGAGTTTAACTCACACACATTGTTAAGTTGATGCAGTTACCAGCTTTATTATGTCGAACCAACTCCTGTAAATAAGCAAATCATGGAGCGAGACCCTTTGAGTTACTTTTTGGAGTATATTTAGAGACATTTCTATCCTGATGAGACAGCATGATGCACGTTACAGTCAACAGATCTCAAACCAGATGAGAAAAAACTTTCTTAAAAAGTTCAACAGCGCTCTCCACCGTCATCGTCAAAACACCAAATGAGAGAAAAGATTTTTTAGAAATATGGTGTTCATTCCTCCAGTAGTCTTCCAGAAACCTATAGAATCAACACAAAGGCACATTTAACCCTTTGTCGGGCAAAGAACCATATGTGGTAACTTCTGTGGGATCTAGGGGATCATGTGACTTCATCCAGCCAATCAACGGAGATCTCTGGACTCTGACCAATCACAAGTGAGCCAAAGTGATATTTATGGCACAAGTGTGGAAATAAATGTCGGATTTTTTACAATAACTTTTCCACATATTATTTTTTTAATCCCAGGTGGGCGAGAAATTGTATATGGTAATTGCTTTGACTTTGATTTGCAGCCTAAATCTGAAACTTTTTTTAAAAGTCAAAAGAAAAAAGTCCTCTTGGACCCACCAGTTACGCTCCAGGGTTGAAAATGTTAATGTCCAAGTATTTCATCGAGCGCCCTGTAAAGGCTTAAGCTGCTCTGGTGACACTTTATGTTGGTTTTTTCCTTTAATTTGACGCCTGTTTGACTCACACAAACCCAAACCCTTCCTCTAAAAGTGAACAGCTAGCCATGTGAGATGTAAAACATTTAGTATTCTTTCTTTAAAAAAAGGATTTATTTTCCAGGAAGGTCAAAAAGCCCAACGTGTTGAAGGAAAAAAGTCTGAAACAGCCTTCAAGGTTGGAGCGGCGAGGACGGCAGCAGCAACAGCAGTCGGAGCATTTTAATTTCCTATTGGCGAGCATTAGGCAGCTCACGCGGCGAAATGAGGAGAGCTGTGTGCTGAAGCTTATCGTGTTTGAAGAGAGGCAGGTACACAGATCTGTGTTAATAAGAGGCGCTCAGCCGGCCGGCGGTTACGGCCCTGCCAGAGCATTACCGGTGACACCACGGATCAGGCTGCATTTGGCTGGGCTCGGCCTCGCGCTCATTAGAGCCGACGTCCTACAGGAGGACCCTGCTGGTCGTGTGCACGCTGGCCTTTAAAGTCCGGTCAGAGAGCATCTGTAAGAGCCTCACAGACAATTCATTAAAGCAAATGACAGTCAGTAATAGTGAGCGTTAAGTAACGGAGATCAGGCGTCCGCTTTAAAACCAAGAGTGTGTGAACAATCAAAGGAAAGATGAAATATTCCATCCAGTATGCTTCGATTTGTGTCAGCCTCACAGTTCAGAGGGATCACTCTCACCAGCGTTCATTGTGGGATTTCTATTTTTTTTTTTGGCCTCGTGGCATCTCATCTATAATCGGATTTTAATCAAGCTTCTGCAGAAATGCTTTAATTTAAAGCTGGTTGGAAAAAAAAAACCTCTCGGAGCTTCTTGGAGCACGAACAGAGCCGGAGAGCGTTAAATATTTCAATAAACAAGTAGATTTTAAATATTTCATGCGCACAACGATTGATATGAGCTGAAACTGCTCTATGAAACATTAAAGGAGCTGTGTCCATCTGAACTGTTCGGATTCGTTGCCGGTGCCGCCGCCGCCTCTTTGGCTGCATTTAAGCCCAGAACGAAGTACGTGCAACGCTGTCGTGGTTGTTGGTGCATCCATACATCATGAGAGGAGGGGAAATTTGCTTAATAGGAATCTGTTTGCTCTCTGAGGCATTCTCCTCCCTTATCTCGCCCTGGAACTCCCCCGCTACTCGACGCCGCTCGGGGTAAATACAGAAGAATGAGGCTGTATAGGGTTTCAAAAGGGGTGGGAAAAAAAAAAAAAAAAGCAAACACATCCAAGAGCGTAGGATGTGGCCAAGTGGAAAAAAAAATGTCTCTGCAGGGTTAGGGAGTACAAGGAGAGGAGTTTATCTCGTGTCCTACCACATCTTTCCGCTGAGACTCAGCCCTGCAAAGTTTGGCTCATGGAGTACACTGCAGTACTGATCCACTGATAAAACGCGGTACTCCTCGCAAGTGTGCAAATCCCAGACTTAATTACTATGAACTGAAATGGAAATGAACTCAATTATGAAGATATTGCCATATATTTGCCCCTCAGTCTGTTTTTTTTTTTTATCTAATTAAATTCATTGCCTTTTTTTTGCCAATATTTCCAAACTTTTCTTGTTAATTTTCTCTCTGAAAGTGACACGGAGACGAAATTGTGGCGATGGCAGAATTTAATTGAATACATACAAAGATGTTCTTGAGAAATTAAGATAACATGATTGCTTATTAATGATAGTGTCTTGATCAATATTCAGATCTCAATTGCTCATCAGGATTGTCACATTTCAGCTCATCCTAATTCCTGCATGTCTGTGCATCAAAATACGACTTAAAATAATCTTCAAATGAATTCAGTGCATCCCCTCGAGGCAAAACACAAACTCTACCCAAAATATCTCACTTGTTGCACATCTGCTCATAAATAGTTTACAGACGTTCCCTGAATGCGTCGCATGCAGACCACACCAGATGTTACCTGAACATCTGTGCACAGACAAGCCTCTAGTCTCCACTCAGTTAGGCAGCTTAGACCAAAAATTGCTTTGCAAAGAGTGAAATAAAGCGTTTTTCTGTCACATTTACCGAAGATGAAACCAAGTGACTTCATCTACATGAGAGTTTTCTATGAGTTGAGCATTTTAAATGTCAAAATTACAGTCGATCGTGCTTGTTTAATTGCTGGAAGCCAAAATCATAATTGAGATTTAGGCCGGGGTGATAAAATAACAGCACCTGCAACAGGCACTCGATTATTAGCTATAAGAAATGTGTTTGAATTGCATGAGATGCAAACACATAGCACATAGCAAAAATACGAGTTCACTTCCATGAAGAAACCCCAAAAACGCTCCCATTCTGGCCCATAAACAGCCACTCATGTCTTGATAATGCCGCCTCAACACTCCTGCTGATCAAGCTGACGGCCTTGAAGTTTGAGACGATTCCTTCCAGTTAAATCCTCAGTTTGCCTTCTGGGTTTACCTGCTTTCCTTGTTTTTTGCGTCCCAGGGTGAAACCACTCTTTTGTTCTTATATGTTTTTTATTTATGACCATTAATTTATTTAATATTGTGTTAACAACAAAATTACTGCTTGCATACCCTTAAAAAAAAAAAAGCAGGTTAGAGCACTTAAGTCAAATCAACCAGTTAAATTTAGAACAAACCTTTTTCCTGTAAGTCTTTATTAAAACCAGGTTATTTGAAGTCATCTGATTGTTGATATCTAGTCAGATAAAACACTTTAGCTTGATTGCACAGCCCTGTTGTAATTAATATTCAATTAATCGTGCAGCCCTTGGTCAAAGCATATGGAAGTATTTGTATATTTGACTTGTTGGGTTTAGTACACTTTCCGTACGGTGACTCTATAGTGTCTGTTGGCTAAATTAATATAATAATATAATACTGGCTTTATTTTGTAGCCTCTCAACTAAATTTCTACGTTTAAACTTCCATCTTGCTTTGCTAACAAAACACCAAACCAGTACGTACGTCTAGCATGCTGTAAAAGACTCAGCAAAGACTCTTGTGAACTCAGTTGTTTTTATTATATTGTCAGACTAATACGAAGCGTCAGCCTCAGTCGTCTCTGAGGTGACACTTGTAGAGCAGGTTGACCCTGAGAATGTCCACTTCAGACATGGCTGCCCTCTGGCCGATGGGAACGGACGGGTCGGGGATGGGAGTTATGGTTTGTGATCCAAACCTTCCAAAGGCGGTTCTGCAGATGTGGACAATAAATCATTATTACTCGTGCAGAATGTTTGGATTGAGTTTAGCGATACGGTGCCGCCTTTACCTTCCATAGTGCATTATGGAGCTGTAGTCGTACGGGAGGTTGAGATTGTTTGTGTCCTTCTTGTGGAAGTTGTTCTTAACGTCTGGCGACAAAAGAGACCAACAGATAACCGATTAAGAAGCAAACCAATCCCATTCACCTGTAGGCGGCGCTGTGAGGTTCTTACAGTCGTCCAGGTTCTCCCAGTGGATCTTGACGTACTGGTCGCGGTCGCTGCGGGTGTGTTCGTGGTGGAAGCCTATGGCGTGCATCAGCTCGTGCTGGATGATGCCGTGATCGATGCAGCCGAACCTCTGCAGCGACACCACCTGCCTGTCTCCGATGCGACCCAGCATGGAGAAGCAGCTACGGAGAGACGCCAGTAATTAACATGCAACCTGCAGCTTGACATTCGATTAACAAATGAATGTAATTTACATTGTCGGCCGTGTGTACATGCTGAAATAATTAGCTTTCTGATAATGTTTGGGGAGGGTTTTTTTCACTGTTAGCATGCCTGGGAGCTGAGATGTGGCTATCAGCTGCCAGTGTATCATCCCAACAACAGGCAGAAACAAGCTAAGCTCTGCTGTTCCTTTGTTTTCCTCTTTGTCTGAGCTAAACATGAACCGATCAGAGGCAGAGAGACCTCAGAGGAGTGGACCGACAAATCTGGGGAGAGCAGTTTGACCTACTAAAGGGGCGAAAGGGGCTGGATTTAAAATGCAAGGTGCACTTAGCAAAGGTAAAGGTTATTAGATGATGAGCCTTTGGGCACAGTCGTGTAAAAGGCCACCTCTCCTCCCGATAACCCCACACCGACGTAGACACCGAATACTTTTAAACAACATATAAGTCGTACGTTTTGCTTCTGTCTGCACAAGCCGGAGACGCAGAGCTGTTGTGTTGTCCGGTGGATTTAAATACCTCCAGGACGTTGTGACACGAACCAAGCAATCAGCTCATTGGATTTGGTTTGCACGTACTAAAATATTTAACGATTGTGGTCTGGATTTGAAATAAAAACCTACGATGTCTGGGCTTAGTCATCGAATAAAATAACAGTTAAAAAAAAAAGAGGCTCCAAGGGCAGCCCGGTATCGGAGGAATTACATTTGCGTGTAACTAATGTCGAACAGCAACAAGGTCGGTTTTTGTGATTCCAGGTCTCAGATTTTGCTCACAGTTATTTATCGTTAGGGGCCAGAAAGTAAGTTCTGTAAAGTATTTGAAGAACTGAATGTTTTCAGAGCTGGAAAATTTTGCATTTCTGCCATCGAGGATGAGATTTACTGTGATGTTGAATTATCTTCAGTGTGCATTTCAAGTGTTTGTATGGGAGCATTCAGCAAAGCAAAGCAAGCCTCATGTGTTGTTAAATTTCAATATGAAGTAAGCATGGAAGCATCTTTGCATGTTAAATGACAATATCTAGACTCCTATGCACACAAGCTGTGGGCCTATACAGTCTGCATGGCCAAAACAGCAGAAAATATTTGATGTTAGAGACCTCAAATGTTGGTAAAATGCCGGCCAAAGACTTCACTACCACACATATATATTTTTACAGACTTTATATATGGACTTGGAGGAACTTTCTTGGGCCTCATTACCTCTCTTGTTTCAAATTGTTGTACTTTATTCCATTTTTTATTTTTTTTTCCAAGGACCATTAATTAAAAATCTGGCCTCTGCTGGAGCTATTCAATCTTTTGGATCTGCTGGCAACACTTTTTGTCTGTGCCTTCGCCAAATTTAATGGCTGTGGGAGTTATATTTCTGGAGAACCTTTAAAACAGCTTCCCATTTTTTATTTTTATTTTAAGGGTGAATATACAAAAACTCTCCAATCTGAAAACAGATGAAATTCTCCTCTTAGCTTTGGGTCCCAGATAGCCAATAAGTGAACTCTGAACAAAGTCTGAGGTGTTTTGTTTTTTGATTGCAGAACTTTTTCTTGCACAATTTCTGGACTGCACTTTCACTTTTAAAGGGGCAAACTGTTACATAGACTGTATAAGAGATGGACGTAGCTACCGTGACGTCACCCGTTGGTTTCTGCACTGAGAACAAGAAGCCAGGGTTTTGCTACTTCCTGGTTGACATCTTGGATTTTTGGAGCCAAATCGTGGTAGGGGGGCGGAGCCATAGGAGCAACGATTGGTCAGACGGATTGAGAGGCGGGCCCTCTCTGCCCCGCCCACATTTACCGCCTTCTGTTCGCTTCGTCTGTTTGGTTGTTGCCGACTGTCAATCAAGCCAGCCACGCCCCTTGCCCCGCAAAATGTTGACGATTTTTTAAAAATTCAGTATTGATTTATTTCCAGATTGGCCACCTGATCTCTGGATTTGACCATGAAAACTAATAAGAAAACAATCTGTGATCACTTCTTTTCCAATTCCAGTCTATGGGAGCCAGGGCTTTTTGGAGCCAGCAATTAGTGGACGTAGTGATATTGCAGGTTTTTGACACTTCCGGGTTGACTTCATTTTTCAGGGCCGGTTGCTCCGTCCATCTTTTATACAGTCTATGGTTTCAAAGGGAGGGACTCACATGCACCAACATACACATAAGGCTACTGAAGAGAAGCTCAGATTAAAACACAAACAGAAGGACTCCATCAGCTTTAAACAGCTGTATTAATGTCCAACGTCTTGCACGTACTGTAAAACCTTTAAGTATGTTTTTATTGCTCACTTTTGTTTTTACAGATGCAATTACCTTAAGTGGCCCTCCGCTTTTATGCACTGTACACTGGAGTGCTGTTTGACTCACCCGTAGCGCGGCTCGATGCTGAGGTAGATTCTCTCGCCTCTTTTCCGCGGAATGAAGCGGATGCAGGTTTGCGATTCAAAGTCTCTCATTGCGCGTATGATGGCGTTCCTCTCGCTGCGATCTACGGCGGCGGGTGAAAGCGGCGTCACTGTTTCTGTGGAAGATGTCAACGTCTAGTGTGTTGAAAACAAATCAGACCCACCGTATTTGTTGCTTATGGTGTATTTGATTTCCACTTTCCCGTTGGCAGACTTTGGCCACAGACAGGAATTGGCGTCGTTTAAGCACTTCATGGCGGTCCTGGTTTTGGGAGGCAGCAAGTCTCCTTCCATCAGAAAGTCGCTAAATCCTGTTAAAGTGGAAGACTTTTCATCCAAGTGAAGAAAAAATATCAAATGGAATAATTTTTTTTTCTAAATGTACTGAATGTAGAAGCTCTAATAATGTGGGAAAGCGTTGTTCCCTCGCTGTCCTCGCGATATCATGATTGAACGCTCACCGCTGTTCATTCTGAGGATGGTTGTGCTAATGTCCTCGTCGCCAGATTGATCCCCAGAGCTCTCTGTTGAATGGAAGAAGTCGCAAAACTCAAAGACGAATGATAGATCTGAGTTGTTGGATGAGCTGAAGCGAGGTTTGGTCACTTACCGTCGACCGCGCTGAGATCCTGTGGAAACAAAGAAAAAAAATCTAATATGCATCAGGTTTGTGAGCTGGTTTCTGCCATATTTAGTGAGTTGTTTCTTACGTTGTCGAGTTGAGCGCCGCAGAGACCCAGAAGCAGCAGCAGCAGCAGAAGAGGAGAAACAGTTGTGTAGAGGTCCATTTCTTTTAGCCCGAAGGTGCTGATCCTCGAGATGTCACTTTGGAGACTTTGCTGGTCCCACCGAGGGCTGCTGCTGTAGTCCGGTCAGGGCCGCAGCTTATATGAAAGCTGTCAAGGTGTGTCCGTGTGCAGAGATTAATGGCGGGGTTCAGGAGGCTCAGTCTTAGACACACAGCTGATGGGAGTGCCCTGCCCACCCCGGCCCACTGTTTCCACAACGGGGATAATCTTATTCCGCGAGGATTACGGTGACCACAGGCAGGCTGCTGTCGGCCCGCTTAGGATCACATTTCAGATGGCATTTTTATAAGCAGCGGGGGGTTCGGCTCGCGAGCTCTGGGCCTGTCCCAGAGTCTTTTCCCCAAAATAACAGATACAACGTTTGAAACGCCACAACGCTGCTGTTAAGTATCTGCAGGCACCGCCAACTACTGATCTGATCGGGATTTGATATTTAGCTTTTTTCTAAATAACGGTATAGAATAATTTGACAATTCAGTCACCACTCTGTACCAGTGTCCGGCCCACAGCACTATCTGATAACTTACAGCCTGTCAGCACTGAAAGATAAAAAGTTATGTTCAAAATAAATGGACAGCATTTTAGCAAACTTTAGCGCTCTAGTTAGAATAATTTTTTATTTTTTTTAGCCTTTGTGCCTTTATTGGAGAGTGTAGTCAGAGAGAGACAGGAAAGTAGGGGAGAAGAATGGGGGAAGGACATGTGGGAAAGGGTCATGAGCGGGATTCGAACTCATGACCTCCACATTGGGACTGTAGCCCTGCACATGGGACGCCAGCTCAACCAGGTGAGCTACAGCGGCGCCCATAGTTAGACTAAATTTTAACACCAAGATTTTCATTTTTTACTATAAAAGTGAAGTAAAAACATTTTTGCTTTTGTTAATTTCTAATATTTGGACTCAGTATCGAACTTGAACAATAACATTTTGGTCAACCGCTAAATTAAACTGCAATATTTTTGATAATCAATTTATAGTTTTAGGCTTTTTTTTT